AAATAAATACGGAAACAGTAGCTTTAAATGACACAATAGACCACATAGATTTAAGCGATATTTATAGGACATTCCATCCAAAAACAGCAGATTACACTTTTTTCTCAAGTGCACACGGAACATTCACCAGGATAGATCACATCTTGGGTCACAAATCAAGCCTCAATAAATTTAAGAAAATTGAAATCATATCAAGCATCTTTTCTGACAACAACGCTATGACATTAGAAATGAATTACAGGGGGAAAAAACGTAAAAAACACAAACACATGGAGGCTAAACAATACGTTACTAAATAACCAAGAGATCACTGAAGAAATCAAAGAGGAAATCAAAAAATACCTAGAGACAAATGACAATGAAAACACAACGATCCAACCTATGGGATGCAGCAAAAGCAGTTCTAAGAGGGAAGTTTATAGCTATACAAGCCTACCTCAAGAAACAAGAAATATCTCAAATAAACAATCTAACCTTACACCTAAAGGAACTAGAGAAAGAAGAACAAACAAAACCCAAAGTTAGTAGAAGGAAAGAAATCATAAAGATCAGAGCAGAAATAAATGAAATAGAAACAAAGGAAACAATAGCAAAGATAAATAAAACTAAAAGCTGTTTCTTTGAAAAGATAAACAAAATTGATAAACCATTAGCCAGACTCATCAAGAAAAAGAGGGAGAGGACTCAAATCAATAAAATTAGAAATGAAAAAGGAGAAGTTACAACAGACAGTGCAGAAATACAAAGCATCCTAAGAGACTACTACAAGTGACTCTATGCCAATAAAATGGACAACCTAGAAGAAATGGACAAATTCTTAGAAAGGTATAACCTTCCAAGACTGAACCAGGAAGAAATAGAAAATATGAACAGACCAATCAAAGTAATTAAATTGAACCTGTGATTAAAAATCTTCCAACAGGGGCTTCCCTGATGGTGCAGTGGTTGAGAGTCCGCCTGCCGATACAGGGGACATGGGTTCATGCCCCGGTACGGGAAGATCCCACATGCCACAGAGCGGCTGGGCCCGTGAGCCATGGCCACTAAGCCTGCGTGTCCAGAGCCTGTGCTCCACAATGGGAGAGGCCACAACAGTGAGAGGCCTGCATACCGCAAAATAAATAAATAAATATTCCAACAAACAAAAGTCCAGGACCAGATGGCTTCACAGGTGAATTCTATCAAACATTTAGAGAAGAGCTAACAACCATCCTTCTCAAACTCTTCCCCAAAATTGCAGAGGAAGGAACACTCCCAAACTCATTCTATGAGGCCACCATCACCCTGATACCAAAACCAGACAAAGATACTACAAAAAAAGAAAATTACAGACCAATATCACTGATGAATATAGATGCAAAAATCCTCAAGAAAATACTAGCAAACATAATCCAACAACACATTAAAAGGATCATACATCATAATCAACGTGGATTTATCCCAGGGATGCAAGGATTCTTCAATATACACAAATCAGTCAATGTGATACACCATATTAACAACTTGAAGAATAAAAACCATATGATCATCTCAATAGATGCAGGAAAAGCTTTTGACAAAATTCAACATACATTTATGATAAAAACTCTCCAGAAATTGGGCATAGAGGGAACCTACCTCAACATAATAAAGGCCATATATGACAAACCAACAGCAAACATCATTCTCAATGGTGAAAAACTGAAAGTATTTCCTCTAAGATCAGGAACAATACAAGGATGTCCACTCTCACCACTATTATTCAACATAGTCTTGGAAGTCCTAGCCACGACAATCAGAGAAGAAAAAGAAATAAAAGGAATACAAATTGGAAAAGAAGAAGTAAAACTGTCACTGTTTGCAGATGACATGATACTGTACATAGAGAATCCTAAAAATGCCACCAGAAAACTACTAGAGCTAATCAATGAATTTGGTAAAGTTGCAGGATACAAAATTAATGCACAGAAATCTCTTGCATTCCTATACACTAATGATGAAAAATCTGAAAGAGAAATTAAGGAAACACTTCTATTTACCATTGCAAGGAAAAGAATAAAATACCTAGGAATAAGCCTACCTAGGGAGACAAAGACCTGTATGCAGAAAACTATAAGACACTGATGAAAGAAATTAAAGATGATACCAACAGATGGAGAGATAAACCATGTTCTTGGATTGGATGAATCAATATTGTGGAAATGACTACACTACCCAAAGCAATCTACAGATTCAATGCAATCCCTATTAAATTACCAATAGCATTTTTTACGGAACTAGAACAAAAAAATCTTAAAATTTGTATGGAGACACAAAAGACCCCGAATAGCCAAAACAGTCTTGAGGGAAATAAACGGAGCTGGAGGAATCAAACTCCCTGACTTCAGACTATACTACAAAGCTATAGTAATCAAGACAATATGGTACTGGCACAAAAGCAGAAACATAGATCAATGGAACAAGATAGAAAGCCCAGAGATAAACCCATGCACTTATGGTCAACTAATCTATGACAAAGGAGGCAAAGATATACAGTGGAGAAGAGACAGTCTCTTAAATAAGTGGTGCTGGGAAAACTGGACAGCTACATGTAAAAGAATGAAATTAGAACACTCTCTAACACCATACACCAAAACAAACTCAAAATGGATTCAAGACCTAAATGTAAGACTGGACACTATAAAACTCTTAGAGGAAAACATAGCAAAAACACTCTTTGACATAAATCACAGCAAGATCTTTTTTGATCCACCTCCTAGAGTAATGGAAATAAAGACAAAACTAAACAAATGGGACCTAATGAAACTTAAAAGCTTTTGCACAGCAAAGGAAACCATAAACAAGACAAAAAGACAACCCTCAGAATGGGAGAAAGTATCTGCAAACGAGTCAACGGACAAAGGATTAATCTCCAAAATATATAAACAGCTCATGCAGTTCAATATTAAAGAAACAAACAACCCAATCCAAAAATGGGCAGAAGACCTAAATAGACATTTCTCCAAAGAAGACATACAGATGGCCAAGAAGAACATGAAAATCTGCTCAACATCACTAATTATTAGAGAAATGCAAATCAAAACTACAATGAGGTATCACCTCACACCAGTTAGAATGGGCATCATCAGAAAATCTACAAACAACAAATGCTGGAGAGGGTGTGGAGAAAAGGGAACCCTCCTGCTCTGTTGGTGGGAATGTAAATTGATACAGCCACTATGGAGAACAGTATGGAGCTTCTTTAAAAAACTAAAAATAGAATTACCATATGATCCAGCAATCCCACTACTGGGCATATACCCAGAGAAAACCATAATTCAAAGGGACACATGCACCCCAATGTTCGTTGCAGCACTATTTACAATAACCAGGTCATGGAAGCAACCTAAATGCCCATCAACAGACGAATGGATAAGGAAGATGTGGTACATATATACAATGGAATATTACTCAGCCATAAAAAGGAACGAAACTGAGTCATTTGTTGAGATGTGGATGGATCTAGAGACTGTCATACAGAGTGAAGTAAGTCAGAAAGAGAAAAACAAATATCGTATATTAACGCATGTACGTGGAACCTAGAAAAATGGTACAGGTGAACCAGTTTGCAGGGCAGAAGTTGAGACACAGATGTAGAGAACAAACGTATGGACACCGAAGGGGGATAACGCCAGGAGGGTGGGGATGGTGGTGTGCTGAATTGGGTGATTGGGATTGACATGTATACACTGATGGGTATAAAATTGATGACTAATAAGAAGTTGCTTATAAAAAAAGTAATAATAAAAAAAATTACTAGGATTTTGATTGGTATTGAATCTATAGATGAATTTGAGGGAATTGGCATCTTAACGACATTGAGTCTTTTGATCCATGATTATGGTATATCTCTCCCTTTATTTAGGTCTTCTTTAATTTCTCTCAGCAGAGAGAAATTTTATAGTTTTCACTGTACAAGTCTTATATCTCTTTTGTCAAATTTATACCTAAATATTTGATAGTTTTGATGCTATTATATATGGCATTTTCAATTTTCAATTTTTGGTTGTTTATTGCTAGTGTATAGCAATAGTTGATTTGGGTATATTGATCTTATGTCCTGAAACGTTGCAGACTTATTAGACCTACTTGCACCTAGTTTGGCTTATCAACCTTTTTGAGGATTCAGTAGTATTTTTTTTTCAATAGACAACATGCCTGTGAATAAATTCAGTTGTACTTCTCCCAAAACAGTCATTTTGACATGAGTGACGAGGTAACTTCTGTAAGGCACTCATGCTCTTAAGATTGTTTGAAGTATTTTTTATCATTATGTGAGTTTTGTGGCTGAGGCTGTGAGTCTGTCTCCTCTTTTCTAAAGACAACACACTCCTGCCATCCCACCCAATCTCTCACTGTCCAAAAACAGTGAGGGCAGAAACTCAGGACATTGTGACCAACCCGCACAGACCCACCTCTGGGCTAGACTGGCGTGCCCTCGAGTTCTGACTTTGGGAGTGGAACTGTTTGTTCCCAATGGCTGCATGATTCCTGGAGGTCAGCAGCCTCCTCATGGCATTTGGCCCTGCTGAGCTTCCAGGAGCATCCTGGGATGGAGATGGAGTATTCCCAGACAGGGCCTACAGCCACCTTAGGACACATGCTCCACTCTCCCAACTCTCTTTGGGTTTTACTGATCAGGGATCCAAGGACTTTGGCTTTAGAATAAAAGGGGTTCCAAGAGTGTCAACCACATTTACCCCTTTAGTCCATCTGCTGTCTGGCTCCCATGTTCATGTCACTAGCTGATTCTCAGGATAATTGATCTCTCGTATCAAAAGATATCTGGCCCAGCAGACATCATGACCTCCTGGTAGACATCTCCAGGAAAAGTGATCCCACCACACCTCTCCCCTCTCCCAGGCATTCCCATGTGTCCTTTCTCCAAGAACCCCCATTCCCACTCCTACCCTCCCATCCCCAGATCTGTCTTCAGGCCTTTGGGTCCTCCGGTCACTGCAAGCTGTCCTTCATGTGCGGCTTTAAGGAATAGGATCTGAATTGTAATCCACAGTTGGAGGGCACTTCCCCCTAGTAAAAGGTGTGATTCTTTCCCTTTAAAACGACAGAGAAAGAGAAAATGGAACTGGTCCCTTGGAAGAGATTGAGCCCCCCATCCCTGGAGGGGCACCCACAGGGGATGAACAGGGTGCTTCCTAGGGGATCCTACGTTAGTTGAGAGGCCAAAATTGATAACCTCTAGAGCTTTTCCAACAAAACAGCCTGGTTCTAAGGAGGAAATTCCTCTGCTATGCACCTACTTTGGCTCATCAGAGCCCCCAAACCAGTTTGTAAGAACTTCAAATACAAAATCCTAGCACCTAAAAGACCATCCCAATAGGGAGACTGAGGGTCACAAAAAGGAGGGAACTTGCCTGAGGTCACCCTGATGACCAGAATTCCAGCCCAGAGCCCCTGACCACAGTCTAACATCCCTCCCATTGCTCGGATTCTTTCCTAAGAGTGAAACCCATGAGGACTCTCTCTGGTTTCATCTCAGAAGCCATTTGGAAGGTGGCATTTTATAAGAACCCCTTGCTTTGTGTGTCCAACAGCATATACCAGCCATTACGGTGCACACATGTATGTGTTTGTTCATTGTCTGTCTTTCCCACCAAGACGTAAACTTGATGAAGACAGGACTTTGATGTCTTTATTGATATTTCCCCTATGCCTAGACTGTTTCAGGTGCTTGAAAGGTGGTGTCCACAAATATCTGTCAAAGGAAGGCAGGCGGGAGGGCGGGCTTACAGGGCCAAAGAGGCCTTTATGATCATCCGGTGGGTCTCCGTGCCTTCTGCTCTTCAGTCCTCCCCAGCCCACTGCCCCTGGCCTGGCTCAGAGCCTCAGCTCTCACCTGACACTAAGTCGGCCTCCTCATCTCCATCCAGCCCCATCCCACTCCCCTACCCAACAATGCCACAGAGTACGTCTTTAAAACACAAGAGTTACTTCCCATTTAAACCCTTTTGAGGGTCCAGAAGAAAATATTTGCACAATACATGTCTGATAAAGGATGTATGCCTGGAATATATAAAGGACTCTCAACACTTAATAGAAGAAAACAAGTAACCGTTTTTTAAAATGTGCAAAAGAAGAGATATGGAGGAGGTACATGAAAAAATGCCCAACATCTTGTCGTTAGAGAAATGCAAATTCAAACCACAAGGAAATACCCCTATTAGGATGGCTAAATTTGGAAGGAAAAAAAAGCCTTATAATACCAAATGTTGACAAGGATGTAAAGCAATTAGATCCACATACATTGTTAGTGGGAATACAACCTTTTCAGAAAATAGTTGGGCAGTTTCTTATAAAGTTATACATACATTTATCAAGTGACCTAGAAATCCTACTCTAGATATTTCCCAAAGAAGAACGAAAGCATATGTCTACATGAAGACCTATATGGGACTGCTTATAGCAGCTTTATTCAGAATTGCCCAGACTGGAAACAACCCAAATGGCCCTCTCCTTGAAAGTGGATAAACTGTGGTATGTCCATTCAAGAGAACACAAGTCAGCATTAAAAAGGAACAAACTGCTAATATAAGCAAGAGTATGGATGAATCTCAAGAACACCATGCAAGATGAAAGAAACAAGATTCTACATACGGCATGATTCCATTTATATGACATTCTGGAAAAGGCAAAACAATAGGGCTGGTAATCACATCAGTAGTTGCCAGGGGCTGGGGCCTACAAATGGCACAAGGAAACTTTTAGGGGTGACGGTAATATCATTTATCTTGCTTGTTTGGGTGATTAATTACATGACTATATGCATTTGTCAAAACTCACAGAACTGGAAAAAAAAATCTCATAGAGCTATATACCTAAAAAGGGTGAATTTTACTGGCTGTAAGTTTTACTATTATAAATCTAACTTTTACAAAAATCCTTCTGTGGCTCCTCACAGGTCAGATAAAGTCTGAGCAGCTTAGCTTCACAATCAAGGCCTCTAAGGACTGACCTAACCAATCTCACCTGCCTTATTCTCTGCGATTCCCCTTTACACACTCCATACATCATCCAAATCGAACCATCTAGGATTTTCCAGACAGGTCCTGAGATTTTTGGCTTCCTTTCCTTTGTTCATGCGCTTTCCTTTGTCCCAATTTTTCTCCTCCCTGAAAGAAGTGAACACTTGTGGAAAGAGCATAGCTTGGAACCCTGGGGAAGGGGGATTCTGTGCTGAATTTCCTAAGAGTCCCCCTTTCCTGTTCAAACTTCCAAATCTCCCACCAAAGCAGCATGCACAGAGGCCCAGGAGGTACAAGGGGAGTGACCGGGTGTGAGCAGGTGGGGCGAGGACAGGAAGACTGGCCATGGTGAAGGCTATCTGTGCCTTAGCCTTCCTGGGTTCAAAGGGCCTTCTCTCCTGGTCTCACTCTCCAGAACGCTGTGGGTAAAAGAGTGGGGAGAGCATTCTGGACATAGAAAAGTCCCAGGCCCCTCCTGCCCTCATCCTTCTCTCACTACCCTGTAACTGTAGAACGGGGGTTGAGTGCCTTCCCCAGAAAGGTGGGAGCCACTCTGGGACAGAACTGCTGTCTGTCTGGTTCTCTTCTGCCATGTCCCAAGATGTGCCTGCCACATAGCAAGTTCTCAATTACTTTTTGAAGATTACATGCACGAATGCTGTTGCCTAACAGCAGCTTTAGGAAATCCCTTTCTCTCCCCAAATTTCAGTTGTCTCAACTGAAAAACATTGAGAGTAATTCCTACCTTTTAAAGTTATTGTATACAGTAAATACATATAAAATCACTTTGAATATTATAAATATACTCTAGTGATATAAGAATTTATTATTATTATTGTTATAAAAATGGATACTTATGATTTCAATTTCAGATTTCTGGACAAGGAATGTGACCTTAGTTAAAAATGCTAAAATGTTAGGATGCCTACTGAAGTATTTAGGAGGAAGTATTGATGTCTGCCATTTACTTTGAAATTTATCAGATTGTAAGGTAATTAAGATAGGTAGAAGGATGATCATAGATAGGTGATCAATAGATTAACAGACAGGAAGCTATGTCATAAAACAAGAAGAATAAAACATGAATGGTAGAATCTAAGTGATGCATATACAAGGGTACACTGTAAAATCCTTTCTATTTTGGTGTACGTTTAAATTTTTCGTAAAAAAATGTCAAGTGAAAAAACTTAGGAAAAATAAGCTTCTGCCAGATCGAACTGGAAGTTTCCTTGCGTGGAGCACTGACTCATCCTTTAACAACTATGCATTGAGCTCCTTCTACACATGCCAGCCAGACACTGGAGTTTGAGAATAGAGAAGTTCTGTTTAGTAGGGACCACAGGCATGTGAATAAATAATTACAATATAAAGGGAAAGTGCTCCAAACTGGGAATGCACAAGAGGCTGAGAATAAAGAGGCATTGTCTGGAAAAATCAGGGAAGCCTTCATATTTAAGCAGAGTTGTGGAGGATAAATAGGAAATTTCCAGACAGAAACTAGGAGAAGAGTGTTTCAAGAACAGATCACAGTGTGGCCAAAGCGTAGCCTGGCTGGAGTGCAAAGTGAGCATGTCCACACGGCCAGAGGGTGGCCAGATGGAGTAAAGAGACCAGGCTGTAAGAGCCAGAAAGGTGACCAGGTGGAAAACTTGCTCCATTGGTCCATCAGCCACATTTATGAAGCACCTCCTGTGTGTATAGCTCTAAATAATGGAAATCAAAAGGCTGCCTTTCCACACGGGAGTCAAATCCCAGGCTGCCTCGCTGGAAGCCCAGAGCCAGTGGTTTGGCAGGAAGAAACAGGTGAGGCTTGGCAGTGACAGGTGAGAAAGATTAGCTGCCACTACACATTCCTGAAGGAGACTTTACAACTCTCCCACACACGCCCTCCCTCGCCTGGACTGAAGACAGCAAATTGTTCAAGGCCAAGTTGTGTTCCACACCCATGGCCTCTGCAAACCTGGCCAAGGAGGAGAGGCTGAAGTACAGGATCTGAGTCAGAGCCCTGGTCTCCGCCCTGCCTGTTTGGCTGCAGGCCTCTGAGCCATTTCCCCCACCCCTGCAGGCACTCACGTATAAGATGGGAAGACAGCCCTGACCATCGCTCTTTGCCTTTCTACAGCAGCCTCGCAGTCTGTGGACCCTACACTTTTCCATCCACACCCACACTGAGTCGTGGCCTGCAACCTACAGCCGAAGCAGGGATTGACAACAACACATCAACATGGAGGAGTTGTGAGGCCCCAGTGAGAGCACCTCCATCCTTCCAGACTCGATTTGTTCTCATTAATTCTTTACTCCTGCCTTAGTTTTAAATTTATTTTGACTTTTTTAAACTTCTAGAATAGAATGATTGCTTCTGTTGGTTTCAATCTTTCATATTTAATATTAAAAGCTATTAAAGCTATGCATTTTCCTCTAATGGGTGCTTTGACAATATTACATAGGTTTTGATATAGAGTTTTTATTGTAATTAATTTCTAAATGGACTGTAATTTCAAACTAAATTTTCTGTTAGACCCAAGAGCTTTTAAGAAGACTACTTACTAGTTTCCAAGTACTTGGTTTTGAGGGTTATCCTTTTATTGTTAATGTCTTGTTTTATTGTACTCTGTTTAGAAAAAGTAACCTAGAATTTTCTATGTAGGGTGTTTTTTTTGTTTGTTTGTTTGTTTTCTGTATACGGGCCTCTCACCGTTGTGGCCTCTCCCGTTGCTTGCGGAGCACAGGCTCTGGACGCGCAGGCTCAGTGGCCGTGGCTCACGGGCCCAGCCGCTCCGCGGCATGTGGGATCCTCCCAGACCGGGGCACGAACCCGTGTCCCCTGCATCGGCAGGCGGACTCTCAACCACTGCGCCACCAGGGAGGCCCTATGTAGGGTGTTTTTAATTTAGATATTTTAAATGAAATTTTCTTAGAAGATTAACTTTTATAAGTGTTCCATGAATATATGAAAATGATGTGGAGTAAAACACACCTATTCAAATCCTCCAAATAATTATTTACATGTCCTTATCTGTCAAATTCTCAGGTCTATTAAGAATTCCCGGGCTTCCCTGGTGGCACAGTGGT